TATTGGGTAGAATGTATCAACAACCTGAAGTGATCAGGAAAGGCCTTGGGGAAGAGGTGACATTTGACTTGAGCCTTGACACTATTCCAAGAGGTAGAGATCAAGAGTACTTTCAGCATGAGGGACAGATGAGAAGATAGAATTTTATGTATGGGGATCAGCATTATAATAATGATTGTAAAGCATTTAGCACAGTGCCTTGCACAAATTAGTTGCTTAATAAATGCTTATTCTCTCCCTCCCTCCCTTTAACTAGAATATAGTAGAGGCAAGGGGGAGTTAGGTGAAATCCAACCAGGTTGGAGCCAGATTGTGAAGTACTTTAATGTTCCTCAAAAGAGTTTACAATTTATCCTAGTGGCAATAGGGAGCCACTGAAATTTCTAGTGGCATAACAGAGTGAGACCAGTACTTTGGAAGTATTAGCTGTGAGGAAAATAGATTTGAAAAAGACTAGAGGCAGGGAGACATCCTGTCAAAAGATCACTTAGTGGCCGTCTCAATGCCTCAGTAATGGGGAACACAATACCTGAGCCAGCCCATTCCAGTGCTCACAGACAGGAAGTTTTTCCCCCTTGACTTGCTGAAATCTCTCTCTTTAATTCCTACTCACTGTTCCTAGTTCCGCCCTACAGGGGCAAGCAGAACAAGTCTGAGACCTTTTCCACGTGACAACCCCGAAGATATTTGAAGACAAGTTTCTTTTCTAAGTCTTAATTCAACAATTCTTCTCTATGCTGGAGACATACGAAGCCCAAATGCCAGTTCCTGTTGTCAACAAGTGTACAGCCTTAGGCGACTCCCAGCCCTGGCATTCTGTGATTCTAAATAGCATTGAGAACTAGAGCTACTCAGGGAAAGGTCAAATGCTGAGTGTTAGGTGTCTGTGGGAGAGCTGAAATATTGGTACTGCATGACTGCTGTGGCCCATGGGTCTCTCTGAATTCCTCACGAAACGTCACCATGGTATAACTACCTTAACTAATGTGTGTTGTCTCTCTCCAGTTTCTTCATTTCCAGGGTCTCTTTAAATAATAACCCTTTCCTTGGTCCTTTGCTAAGCTCCTTATGTCACTTTCAACAGATAACCCTGAGTTTATTCAGAGCCTCTCAAGAGTCTGAAGGAGAATTTTTTTTTCTGTCCCCTGCCCCCTCATTTTACAAAAAAAATAAACTTAGGCCCTGAAAGACTGGGGGGTTGGGGGGTGGAGAGGGGAGAAATGACTTGCCCTAGGTCATGTAGCTAATAAGAGGCAGAACTGGAATTTGAACACAGACCTTTCAGACCCCAGAGTCAGTACATTTCCCCTTTGATCCTTCTGTATTTCATGAGGGCCTCTCTATCAAAGTAGGAAGGTGAAAGGGTAGATCTCCTGGTGAGTTTTGAAATGGAAGTGTGACTCAGGACTTTGCAAGAAAAGCATCTGGCTCTTTTTCAATCATTTGCTTCCCTGTACGCTCTTTGTCTTCTTACATCTGCTTTTTTCTCTTCTGCTTCCTTAGCTGCCCCTGTCCATGAAATACCCAATCTCCCTTCTTTCTCTCCTTCCTTCCTTCTCTTCCCTTTTTTGTTCCTTTCTTCTCTAGTTATTCCTAACCCTTTGCCAAAGCTCTCCTCCAAGTCAGATGGTCAGAGAAGTACTTTGGCATTTCTGATGCCAATCTGACCCAGCTTTGTCTCTTGCTGCTGACCCCCTAGCCCACCCCACCTCCTTGGCTACTATGATGGGAAAGTGTATGCTGTGTATGTGTTGATAGCTGTGATTTCTGTGTATAGAGAACCTAACCCAGAAGGATGAATTGGGCAGAAGCCTGGGTTCATGTTATACGCATCAGCATTATGCAGTAGAAAAGCAAGGATAAGCCAAGAGACCTGGTTTCTTTCCCAGCTCTGGTATTCACTGCACAGCCTAAACGAAGTCATTTCCTTTCTCTGTTTCTCAGTGTCCTCTTTTGTTAAATGGAGTTAATAATATTTGGACAACCTCACAACGGTCATTGTGGGGTTCCAGTGAGTGAGATAAGGTATGTATGGTATAGTACTGTATAAATGTCAACTATTATTATAACTACTCTCGGACCCTGCTCCTGTCTAGACCTGGGCAAAGATTTGCTGGTCTTCACAGGACTGCTGTGAGGGCCAGGGTGGCTCAGAAATACCACCCATTCAGCCATCTATTTGACATTTATCAAATACCTGCTGTATACCTCTTCCTGGCACTGGGGTGGATACAAAGTATGGATAAAAAATATTTTCTTTCTCATTCTCCATTATGCCAAAGTGCTAGTGACCTTAAGTGGCTGCTTTGTGAAATCAAGAGGAGATTTCTTTAAATCTCAGAGATGGAAAGGACTGCAGATAGCATGTAGTTCAACGTGCATGTGCATCCTCTATACATTCATTAAAAGTGTCCAATTATCCAGTCCCTTCTTGAATACCCCTGATAATAAAGAAATCATTGTCTTCCAAGATAGCTCATGAGATTTTTTAATATCACTGATTGTTAGAGAGTCTTTCCTTATATTTGATCTTAACCTGCCTTTCCCCAACTTCCATCCATTGCTACTATTTCAGCCCCCTGAGTCTAAACAGAAAAATTCTAAACTCTCTTCTATATAATATCTCTTTAAATACTTGTTAACACTATTAAAATAATTAGCTTGTTTTAAACCTAAGGGCAACCATAAAGTTCTCTTCTCTGAGACTTAAAGGACTTTATTTTAAATGAAAAGTTACAAGTTTCCAGGCAGCTAGGTGGTGCAGTGGATAGAGCACGAGCCCTGGATTTAGGAGGACCTGAGTTCAAATTCAGCCTCAGACACTTGACACTAGCTGTGTGACCCGGGCAAGTCACTTAATCCCATTACCTAGAAAACAACAACACAAAAAAGAAATCTAACTTGCCCTATGGGCAGTAGGAGGGAAAAGGGAGGGGGGATAGAAGGGAGGGAAGAAGTAGTCAAGGGTAAAGGGGAAGAAAAGGGAGGGGGGGCTAACAGAAAACAACAACAACAACAAAAAAGAAAAGTTACAAGTTTCAATCACAGTCTCTCAGAGCACCCCAAGTTAGGAAAATACCTAACATTTAGGCAGAGATTGAGCTCTGCTTCAATTTACATTTATATCTATCTCGTTAACCCTTGGCCTCTTTGGTGGTTGGGGAAAAATTCACGTTACTGGAAATGTTTGGGCAACAAAAACAGACGATATTATAGTGTCTGTGGATAGAGAGGTACCAGGAGAGGAATTTGGGGAGAATGCTTTTTTTTTCTTCCCTCTATCCTTGAGTAGGTGGGGTACACCATTAGAATCAGCCTGTAGAATCGATAGCCCCCCCGGATACCTTTCTTCTCTGTCCTTTTGTTGGCTGGTTGCTTCCCACAATATCAGTTCTTTCATGCCTATCTCTGGTATGACTCTTTCTTCCTCTTTTCTTAAAAACTCTTAGAATTTTTATTCTGAGGTAACTCTTCTTATACAATTTCTTTAGGACATAACCATCTCAAGCAATGGCTTGGATTGACTCAAGAAGGTGTAAATACCCAGTTCACATTAGGTGCTGGTTAATTCATTCTAACAAAAGTAATTATTTTTAAGTAGTTGGATAATCAGTGGATCTCCACTCTTACTTTTTGAAAGGTAGCATCAAAAAGAACATTGGATTTGGAGAGACTTCTGCCTTTACTATCACACTATCTTTTTAACATCAGCAAGTCATGTTTCACCTCTACAGTTTCTTCTTCTGTAGCATGACATCAGACTAGATGACCTTCAAGGTTCTTTCCAGCTTTATGTCCCATGGCTCAATTTACTTTTCCCTTATTCTTCTCTTATCCAGGCTAAGCCCCTCTAAATGACTGAAGAAGGGTATGGGACAGTAACGCCTTGAACTTCTTGGCTGTATTTGTCGTGTCTACCTGTCACATACTGAATGTATGTGTCCCGAAGTCTCCTTCATGCAGGAAGGTGCAGAGCAGCTTTAGTCACTACTGAGTCTTGTGGCATAGATCGTTGAACTTTGATCAGAGAATTTCCTGTGTCAGCCCTGGAGACCTCTAAACCCAGGACATGGCACATGAGTGGAACAGCCTGGGCCCCTCAGTTATATTCCTTCCCATAGGTTATATTCTTTGGGACTCAGGGTGGTACAGTGGAATGAGCCCCAGAGACCCAGGTTCTAGTCCAAGCTCTACCTTTAACTCTTTATGTGACCTTGGACAAGTCACTTTCCCTCTTCCAGCCTCAGTTTCCCCATCAGTAAATACTGAGGTTCGATTTGACGATCTGACGTCCCTTCTAACACCAACAGACTATGATTGTGTCTTGTAGCACCTCCTAAAGCTTTGTATAGGGTAAAAGGTTTCTTCATATCGTCTCAACACTGTACCTTGAGTGCTGGAAGGACTTCAGGCAAACTTGTCCTCTTTTACTTAGTCTTATGTAAACATACATACATACCTCTTTCCTTTATTTGCCAAAGCAATCGGCAGGGCTAGCGTTATTATCCAAACTGGTGTGAGGCAGAGTATAGGAGCTGGGACTGTTACCACGACTAGTGTTGTTACCCAGCAGTGCTGTGAGATAGGAAGGATAGGAGTCACCATGCCCATTTTACAGATGAGTAGGTCACCTGTTCTGGCAAATGACATGACTTGCCTAGGGTCGCACAATACTTACCGGCGTCAGAACTCAAACCCGGGGCTTCCGACTCTTAAGTCAAACAATGTAACCAGTGCCCATCTCACATTTAGAATTTTCGGGGAAGAATCGCTGGGATCCGAACCACCTGTCCTTGACGCACCTAGGGCAACCCAGTTGCTTCAGGATCTCCTCCTCCTCTTTGCCCCGCCCCCAAACCTGGCACCTTTTCACTGGGAAATGGGAGTGGTTCGCGTCGCCTGCTGGGACTTGTAGTCCTGGCCGCTCCCTGGCTCCGCCACTCCCGAGCGGCCGCGCCTGCGCATTGAGTGTAGACTTTGGCTGCTCGCTGTGGTCTTAGGTTCAGGAGTGGCTGCCATCTTAGCCGCGGGACTGAGGAGCTGCCGCCGCTGTTGCCGCCTCCTCCTCTTCCCCCCAGCCCGGTAAACACCTGCGGGAGGGCTCCTGGGTAGGAGCGGGGCAGGCTAGGGGGAGATCTCGGGGAGGAAGGACGGAGCCGTGCCCGGGAGGGCGGGGAGGAAGGGGTGGTACCCTCGCTTTCTGTGAGCCCCCTCACCGCCGGGCCCGGTCCGCGGGAGGGGAAAGGGACAAGTGGGGCCGAAGGGCGCGGGGGAGGGGGCCGGCACGAGACCAGAGCGGCGGCGGCGGCGGCGCGCGCCCAGGCCGGTGGGTGGGCGAGGCGGAGGGGCTAGCGAGTCCCCCGCCCCCCGGGCTGGGAAGTTGTGTGAGGAGGAGGCGGGGAGGGGGAGAAGCGCCCCGCCACCCTCAGTCTACCCCTCCCCGCCGAGCCCAGCCCTGCTCCGCCCCGCTCCGCTCCGGCCCCGGCTGGCTAGTGCCTGGGCGCGAGCCCCAGGCACCCTGCTGCCGGTGTGCCGCGGGGGGAAGGGGAGCGAGGAGGCAGCGGCTTCCCCGCCCCCTGCCGGCACCTGGGCCGGGCCGGGCCGGGCCGGGGTGGGGGGCGGCTGGAGCCCTCGGGGCCGAGGGCGTCCGGAGCGAGGGCAAGCAGGCGAGTGGTGCCCACTTGCTGTCCCCGCCCCCTTCCTGCGGCTTCATTTCCAGGATGTCTCACTAGCGCTGATCGGACTTTCCCAAGTCCAAAGCTTTCACCGGGCTCTTTCAAATCGCACCCGCCAGAAAGGGAGCGAGCGAGTGAAAAACCCTCCACGTTTCCATTGTCCTCACTGGAGGTGTTGGGTTCCCTGCATTTTTCCCCGGGGGTCTGGTGCCTCCAGTCTTCGCCCTCCCCCTTGCCCTCGTGCACTGTTTATCTTCTCGGGTCATTGAAGCTGAGATGACTTTTAAAAAAACCAAGAGACCAACATAGGAAGAAATGAAAGCCTTACCGGATGATGATAATGATGATGGTGTGGTGGTGTGTGTGGAAGGGGGTGTAACTTGTTTTTAAGACGTGTGTTTTGACGTGACCTAAGTAGATAAAAACACTAGCTCTGTAGGGTGACGATAGAGGTTGGGTCTAAAATTAGTCATCTTGTGTGTAAGCAGGTGAACTTAAGCTCTCAAAAGAGCATGTTTCTTCAAGGAAAGTTAAAATTGATTCAGAACAAAGATAGCCTTGTTTTAGTATACCTCTTAATTTTGTCCCATACTTCTTGCCTTCTAATAGGATAGGTTTTTGTTTTAGGTTTTATGTGTATGTTTTGTTGTAGGATTTTTTTCCCTCTAATGATATAGAATAGCTAGCTACTACTGCCTTCTTGCTTTTAAACTATCCAGAAAGGCTATATTCACAAGCAGTGAATAAAGTAGAGCGTTTCCACTACTTGCTTTCACTTCCTAAGCCAGCTATGGGGATTTAGAGATTTATTTTCTAAGCATCTTTTCACAGACAAAAAGGAACAGATTTGAGATCTGGTGAAAACCTATCCTGTTTTCTGAGTTTCAGTTTATGTAAAAGGTACTTTATTTCTGTACATGTGGCATTCAATGGCAAATACAGTGGCTTCAGAGACAGTGACTATGAAGTATTTGGGTGTGAGCCCAAATAATTACTTCTATATATTTTCAATTATATAGAAAAAAAGTTTACTATTACCAAGTGATTGCCTGGTGAGATTGGTCAAAGGGGCTCATTAAGAAGTCTTAATACACTTGACACTTCCTAGCTATGTGACCCTGGGCAAGTCACTTAACCCTGATTGCCTCACCAAAAAGCCAAAAAAAAAGCCTGAATAACAGAGCGGATTATATTTGAGTTCATTTCCTATGGAGCCATTCTTTAATATTTGTGTAAAAGAACGCCAATTAGTAATGGGTCAGTTTGGGTTTTGAGGAGGAGTTCAGATTGAAGAGTATGAAGACCAAGTACCCCATACCAGGGATTGAAAGGTATCTAACTTCCCTCCAGTCAAGCAGTTAGCAAGAATTTATTAAGCTTCTGTTACATGCATGCCTCTGTCTAACAAAGACATAAAGACAAAAATGAAACAATTCTTTTCCTCCAAGAGTTTGCAGTCTATCAGGGGAGATGTACACATATAGATATGTATCAGAAAATATTAAAATGAATCTTTGGTGTCAAAGCTTTGGGCATTCTTTACAAAAATGCAGTTTTCAACCTTTTCATACCTACCCATTTTTTGGTGACTTGTCCATGTTCTTCTAAAAGTTCTCCACAGAGGGGCTAACCAGTGGGCTGCAGAATGTCTTTTCTCTATTTGTTTCGGTATTGACAGGGTACCAGTGGAACACTCTGGCTGTCCACTGTATAATCACATGCTCTTACTATGTGACAAACCATCTTTTCCTCTCATGCATTTCTTTGGTAACATTCTTTACTCCTGTTCTTCTTTGGAGTTCTTTGTTGGTTATATGTTATAGCCTGTTCATATAGACTGTGCACTTTTCCATTACCCTCTCTATGATACTCATCCTTAGTTCTTTAGAGACAGTGATAGTTCACATCTTGCTGCCGTATAGAACACTGGTGAAATGATAGTATTGGAAAAAAATGTGCATTTGCTTTCATGGGAAACTTGGGGTCAGTAAAAGACCTTTGTAGTTTTCTGAAAGCAATCCCCTGTTCATCTCTGGTCATGTTCATTCATATCTCTCTGTACTGTCTGTCCTAGATACATTTGTTGGACAAGTTTTGTAGGTGTCCATCCAAATGCATGTTGAAATTGGAGCAATAGACATTTTCATTCACTTGGTCTTTCCTGTATGTATGGATAGGCCAAATTCCAAAATATTACACTAAAAAAACAAAATGCAAGCTTTTGTTTTGTAATTGTCTTCATCCTTTGCTTTGTTTATTTTTGGGCAGTTGGGGTTAAATGACTTGCCCAGGGTCACACAGCTAGTAAGTGTCAAGTGATTGGTCTGAGGTTGAATTTGAACTCAGGTCCTCCTGACTTCAGGGCTGATGCTCTATCCACTGTGCCACCTAGCTGCCCCTTCATCTTTTACTTTAGGTAGCTTCCTGTCATTTAAGTCTCAATTTTTTTTTTTGTAATTTGCATCTCTACCCTGGTATTGTCCACCTTTGTAACCTTACCCACACCCCATTTAACTCAAATGCAGGTTCCTTTATGTTAACTTCACCCACCACCCCCCTCAACCCAAATTCTAGAGGATTCAATCAAAGCTGCTCTGCACAGCTCTGCTTCTGCAGCCTAATCCCATTTTCTGAAGGGGAGGAGCTGAGGTGATTCTCATTTCCCTCACCTTATTAAAACATCTAAGAGGGATTGTCTTCAAGCCAATCATAAGGAAGACACAGCCATTTTGACCCATACTCTAATAATATATAATAAGCCGGTATATAATAATATGATGTGTATTATATGTGATATTATATATTAATATATACTAATACCTAATAAACCAATAAAGTGAAAAAATTTTGAACCTCAGTCTGTCTTTATCAATTTCTATCACTGACAGTGATAGGATAAGAAGCCAGAAATTGGTAAGTGGGGAGAGAATAAATAGGGAAGTAGGTAAGACATAAAGGAGGTAAAGGAAGAAGATGAGAGAAAATGGGAAAAGTGACTATATGATAATGTAGGAAACAAGGGACAAGATAAAATTTTTCCCCGAAGACAGCTATTATGATGAAATAGTTTATAAAAAGTTATAGAAGAACTTTAAATACTCACCATAGCATCCATTTGTCGAAACATTCACGAATATAATTGCCATCTGGTGTACAAAGTTGTCTTATGACAGAGTTTTTAATGCATCATGCTTCCTAAGGGCATGGTGCCATGTTAAATCCAGTTCTAAACATATAAAGAGACACAATTGAAGGAATTCACTATTAATATTAAAGATTAACAAATGATTTGGCATTATGTTTCTAAATATAAATTTATTTCTTTACTCAGTATTAAATTAATGAGTATTAATTTAGTGCCCTTTGTGTACAAAACACTATTCTAGATACAATAACTGAATTAATGAAATTAATGAAAAACATTCTTAAGCCATTACTATGTGTGAAGCACTGTGCTAAAAAAAAAAGTCCTGTGTTCTTAACAAATTCACAGACTAGTGGGGGAGAAGACACACGTAGGGCTTTTCAGCTGGAAATCAGATGAAAAGGCCCCATGTTTTTTTTAGAGTGCAGCAGCAAAGCAGATGGTAGTGCATTTTATTTACTGTCGCTTCTACTGATAACATCCTATCTTTTTATTTTAAATCATTTGACAGTGCGAAGGATTTCGGGAACTTTTCTTATCTGAGTCTTCACTAGCTGCGTTTGCTGAGGAGGTGGGCGCCTCAACAATTGCAGAAGCAGTTAACTAGGTTGAATCTCTATAGGGCTTGTTTCCTTAGGACAGTGGTTGAGGGACCTAGTCTGGATGCAAGTGGTCCCAAGTCTCTTGAGTTCAGGGTCCTGGGCTATTGGGGTCTAAGGGGAGGTGATGTTGGTGGTAGTAGTTTGATTTTCCTGGCCCGTGCTGCCTCCTGTTAGTTTCAGGGTACCATGATGCTTTGGCTAGGCTGGCTTACCTCTGCCTGTGAGTAGCAGTTGGTCAGTAGTTGAGAGAGCTGACTTGTCCCTTCACTAGAAGAACTGCTTCCCTAACTTCTGGCAGGGGTGTCTTGGTTGGTGACCTGTAGACCCTACTGTTCCTGGAGCTTTTGGGTTCAGGGTTCTGAGTTGTCACCATTTTGGTCTGAGAGGAAGTGGTAATCGAGGTGTAGTTTTACTTTATTTGGCACATGGTTCCTTTTGTCTTTTCCTCAGGGTGCCATACCACTTTAGCTGGGCTGGTTTGCCCTGTACAGAAATATAAAAGTACCATCTTTGGCCTCAGAAAGCTTATAGTAGTTGTGATATCTTGACTACAGCTCATGTCAGTTCCTTTATTTGCTTTTTACTTTGCTGTTATGTTCTCTTTCCTCAGAAAGGAGAAGCGTTTAGCACCTTGCATAAATTTGTGGCTGTAAGTATGTT